AACAACACAGCAACACAACAACACTCTTCTGGTGGTTGGATTCAGCGAGGACAGTTTTTAAGCTCGCTGATGGGTTGACCAGAGGGGGCGCTGTTGCTGTGTTTACAGATGATGTCACACGTGGAGACGACTGCGCTGCATTAAAACGTTTCTCTGTACGAGCCAAGATTACGTAATAACTTAAATGCTACTTCTGCTAATGTAAGCTAGCTGTAGCGTAGAAACTTTATTTCTCCCGAGGGAAATTCAAGAAGAGAAGAAACTGTTTACAGATGTGATTTACATATAAAGACTTAATGAAACGCAGGAACAGAGTGAGACCTCTCACTTTCCTCACACCTCTGTTGATGGTTGCACATGCTCAGTACAGCCAATCACGTGTTTCTCAGCAGCTACATGTTCACGCAGCAGCCGCCGGTACGCTTCCTCTGATTGGCTCTGAACCTGAAGGCAACAAACAGTGGCCAATCAGAGGCAGTTCAGGGCGGGTCTGCAGTCTGGGTCTTCAGTTTAAATGCAAACTAATAATAATAATAATAATAATAATAATAATAATCTAACTGATGTTTAAAATCAGCTCAACAAGCGTCACTTGACTTTAGAAAAAAAAAACCTGAAGAAGAAGTGAGAGTTTCTGTTCAACAAACACGTGAAACACATTTTATTCCTCATAAAACAAAGACAACTTTAAAATATAGTTTTAATCCTTCATTGTTTACAATCATGTTTTCATTTTCGTCGCGGTCGTTGCGTTCTTTAGCGCCGCCTGCTGGACAAAAGGAACAGTGTGAAACTCAGAAAGCAGCTCGCAGGAACATTGAACAGGAGGATAATGAATCCAGTTCTTTCACTTACAAAAATACTGCGAGTGGGAATCTTTTGCTTCAACTAAAGTACAAAAGTCTGAATCTGGTTTATAAAAATAAACTCTGATTGTTTTAAACTGCACTTGTGTTTGATTCCTGCTCACTGGAAGCTACCGTCGTTCATTTCATCCAGTTCAAATGATTCCTGATTGTTCGTCTCAGCAGAGTCAGGAACTCCTCCAGGAAATACGACGAGTATTAGGGCCATACTAAGAAAACAAAAAAAAAAATTTTGGGAAATTTTTGTTGAGAAAAAAGCTTCGATAGATTTATCAAGATCTGACGATCAATTCATCGTTAAACTGTTGTACTAGCTGAGCCAAAAGGCTCAATTACTACTTTATTCTCGTAATATTACAACTTTATTCTCATATTATTACTTTATTCTCATAAAATTACTACTTTGTTCTCGTAATGTTACGACTTTATTCTCATAAAATTACTACTTTATTCTCGTAATGTTAAGCGACTTTATTCTCGTAATTTCCACAAAAAAAATAAATACTCGTCGTAAGGAAAAGACAAATACGGAAGTAAAAATATTAAAATAATGATATAAACTTATGAGATAATGTGTAAACCTTTAATCAATAGTTAAATTAATTGTTAGTTTAGCATAAGCTCATTGCAGGTTAACTGACATTTATAAAATCCTAGCTAGCTACAATATAGCTAGGATGCTACATTAGCATTAGTTAGTTAATGTCAGCTAATTAATGTTAGCTTGCTAGCTTATGTTAGCAACATTTCTCATTATTGCGCAGTTAGCCAGCTGGTTTTTTTTTACCAACATTTTGATTTATAGTTTCAGTTTGACTTGTTCTTTAGCATTAGCTTCAGTTCATTGTTAGCTCCGGTAGCTGCTCGAGCTAACAGAGTCCTCATCTGTAGAGACGAACAATCAAAGATCTTCACACCTGATCATTTACACCTGAGTCAGTTTCCAGGTGAGACTGGAGGCTCCAGGAAACATTCACATTGAGGAAGAGAAGAAGAGTGAACATCGTGTGCATAGTACGTTGGATTCTGCAGCTGGTTGTAGACGAACGAACAAACTGGTTCTTTTCAACAGTAACCTGAAGCTAAACAACTTCAGTCTGCTCACGAAAAGTGACACAAGAACTTGAGACTGACGCCTCGTTTCCACCGGGTGGCGGCGGCGGGTAAAGTTTAAAAAAATGACCAAATCAACCAAGAAAATGCTCCGCCTCTCAGTATGAAACCAAACGACGCGGCACACGTGTCGTCGTACCCGGTGGAATCGAGGCATAAGAGCTAAATGCTAGCATCCTAACATGAGCTAATAACAGTAAACTCAGAGTGCAGCCGAGGCTGATGGGAATTATCGTACCTGAAGAAACATTATTACAGTCGCGACGCATTAAACTACGTTTCTCTACCGACACATTAATATTCACAGAGAAAAATAAAACAGAAACAGTTTGTCCTCCACTCCGAACTCTCGTCTTGGCACATTTTCTTTCACTTTGACGAGAGACGTCAGGTCGTCTTTAAAGTCTCCATCAAGTCAGAATCAAAGTGTTTGAATCAATACGTCTTAATGGTGTTTGAGATCAATCGTTACCGAGCTAGTTACATCTGGGAGCTAACTGCAGCTAAATGCCAACTAACGATTAATCGTTATTGAGCTCAACTTTCTAACTGGATTCAGTGATTCTGGTGAAACTGGATCAGATTTTATGGAGAAAATATTCCCTGGTTTCCCTCTGACTTTAGCTAAAGTCCCGGACCGGGTCAAACACAACCTCCGAGACCGACAGAACAACGTTACAGTACCGAGGTCAGTTATAGAGGAGCTAACCGCTAACTGACTCATCCAGTAGCCGAACCCGACAAGGAAACCACCTCGGTACTGGTTTCCCTGTCAGACCAACAACGTCTGTCTCAGAGGTTGTGTTCGGTCCCGGGTCCGCCTGTGTTCACTGGAAGGTCGATGCTGACGCTAGCTCGTAGCGGCTCATGGAGACTTTAAAGAGTTTCCTGTTTGTGCAACAAAAACAGACTTTAAGGGATTTTCAGAACCTGGATCTGAATGCTACACTCTGGTTTTAAGGAAGTTCTGATCAGTTCTGGTTCCTGAATTGTTCCAAATAATTTAACAGTTCTCAGAGTCCCTGTGGCTCACATCGGGCTCCGGTGGTCCTGGTTCAGCTTGGTGCTGTTGGAGGGGGTGAGGGCGGGGGGGGAGTCCAGTTGTCGGTACAACACCCTCAGCTCCTTCACCTCCTCCAGCACCTCGCGGGCCTGATTCCAGGCCGCCGCTGCCTCCTTCAGGAGTCTCTCAGCTTCGGTGGACTCCTTCCCCTTCGCCTCCCTCCGCGCCTCCGTCAGCAGCCGCTCCGTCTTCTCCAGCTTCTGTCTGATCAGCTCCTGCAGCCGGCTGATGGGCGCCACCGCGGCGTCCGGCGGCGCCCCGGTCTTGTTCTTTGCAGGTTTCGTCTCGGAGTGCGTGAGGATCTCATCCATGGAGGCGCAGCGGTTTTTCTCCGCCGTTGTCAAGCGTTTTCCAGGCTGGGGGGTCTGACCCTCCCACACCACCACCACCTCGCGGGGGAGGCTCTGGGATTTCCCAGAAGCCTCGGCGGTGCTGGCAGAGAGAGCGCCGTCAGTTTTTGACCGTGGACAATCCGGTTTGTCCGAGGCGACCCTGGAGGCGTCGTAGCCGTCGGCTCCCTGAGGAGACGGACCGTCCTCCTCCTGGATCAGATCCAGAGTCAGCGTCCCGTCTGAGGAGGAGGAGGCCTGGAGGAGAGTATCAATCAATAATCAATAATCATTAATCAGACTTTAGGTATGAAGGGTCATTAGGAGGATCAGACTGACCACAGCCAGCAGGTGACCTCTGGTCGGCAGCCGGCGGTTGTGAGGAATCTTCACTCGATCTCGAGTCAGATGAGACAGCTGAGAGTCGACGGTGACCTGGAGACAGAGCTAATCAGTGCTAACAGAGCTAACAGAGCTAATCAGTGCTAACAG